TAAATAAAAAATCTGATTTTTGAATTTTCAAACTATAAACCTTATTTTTGAATTGGTGTAAAGTATACACCTTATTTATAAATTTTTCCCTAAATACAATTATTAATCCAATACAATTGAGCACGTAAAATAGTCACCGTTACTAGTTTACTATCATAAAACATGCAAGTTGCCCATACGAAATCAAACAATAAAAAGTACAAACCATACGGCCCAATAATTGCTCGCCAAAACGTAAACAAAATAGTGAGCCTAATAAAACAAAGGACATGGCCAGCAAGCGTCAAGATTCTACACTTTGAATTGTGAGTAAATGAAATCATTTTGCAGCCAACAAATTTTGAATCAACTCATACGAAAACAAACCAACACATGCTAATAAATATCCACACGGAATCATGATATTCCAATAAAGGTAAAATCCCAATAAATCCGGCCACTACATACTTTCATCGAGATTTCATTAAATCCGGCTAGCATCATAGAAATTTAGAGCTTGTTTGTGAGAGATTTTTGAGGGAAGAATTGATTTTAAATAGTGATATGATGGGAAATGTGTAGTCGAAAAAGAAGAAAAAATTGATTTACTGTAGAAACATTTAATCCCTCCCAAACAGGCCCTTAATTTACTAAAATAGAAATCTTCAACTATCATGAAAATCACATGCTCGTCTCTTATGCGGAACTAAATATTTCATGAAACATACCAGATCAACCATATTGAAATCTCCTTCTTGAAAGCTTGTAGAAATTATTTCTCTCACTTCACCTCTATTCTTCTCTTTACCAGAACATATGGGAAAATATGATAAAATGAAAATGTGGGTAGAGAGCGGGCAATTCCTACGTACAAAAATAAGCAGTTATCCTACCCCCCATAAAAGCAGTCACATAGAAAATACATTTTTTTTTCAAGTTTATTTTGAACAACACATTCTCTCAATAAAATAATTTTACACGTCAAGTTATAATTCTTTCTACTTTTAATCACGTATACTTAAAAAAATCTCTTTTTTACCAAATCTATTTTTTAAAAATCTAAATCAAACGTCCTCAATATAATAATCCTCAATATAATATTCATACTACTTTTTTTTGTACTAAGAGTGTGTTTGAGACACATTTTTTTTGAAAGAATGTATTATTGAAGAGTAGATTGATGGAGAATGTGTGGTTAAAAATGAAGGAAAAGTTATTGATGTGATAAAAATATTATTTTATTAAAGAACGTGTGGTAAAAAATGAGTAGAAGAATGAGAATGAAAAAAATAATGTGTACCAAACAGAACCTAAATAAAATTATCTCATAATACTATAATATTCAGCATATTATTTTTATTGAAAGCTTAATCCAGAAAAAAATATTTCCATAATTTTTAAGAACCTAGATGTTTAATGTGTGTTATATGCGTTCGAAGTCCATCGCACAAAAAAGAATGGTTTCGAGTCCCCCGGGGTACATCCAAGTTGGCAAAGGATGGGCACTGCTGGGTTTGCAACCTCGGGGTGGAGAGTTCGATTTCTGGATGGAGCAGCTGAGTGTTGTAATACTCAATTTGGGTGGAGCAGCTTGGTGATGTAATATCCATGGAGGAAGGCTCCCTTGGGGCCAGGAGTATAAAGGGTGCACAAACCCTGGTCAATTTGGGCATAT